GTGTGAGTGAGTGGGTCTGTGTGTGTGTTTGTGTTGGTGGGGGGGAGGGGGAGTGGGTTTGAGCTTGTTCGTGTTTAGGAAATTAGATCTTAGTAATGGTTTTGCTCGTGGGTGTTAATTCCGTCAGATGTTTGCAACCTTTTTATATCTGGCTCTAATTCAGAACATGAGACAGCTTTGTGTACAATAAAGCTGCAAGGCATTCTGGGAAATTAAATTCGTTTAGCAGTGCAGACTTTATTCACTTTTGATTCGTAATTGTCTCTGTCGGTATGTTTGTCTGTTAGTACTTTCTTGTTCTTGTTCTTGTTCTTGTTCTTTTTCTTCTTTTTCTTCTTCTTCTTCTTCTTCGTCTTCTACTTTTTCATCTTCTGTCTGTCTGTCTGTTTCACTGTCTGTCTGTCTGCATACGTACTAACTCATAACAGCAGTCTCTCTCACATATCTCATGTTGTGTAAAACTGCGACAAGTTTTCGATATAACAATATGTTATTATTATGCAATGGGAAATGTAAGTTACATTGTAACAAGTCACTGGTTGAGCTCGTAATAAAAATTAAAAAACAAAGTAAATCTACAGGGCATAAATTGGAGGCTTTCGTGGTCGAGAGGTTACGGTGTTTGCCTCTCATTCAATGGGCCCTGGGTTCGAATCCGGAAAGCAACCTCCTTTCCTGCTCTCGTATAATGTTCTGTCGTCTGCTTTCGTCTCCTCTTTCTACCCCTACCCTTCCACCTCCTTGGCCCCCTCCTTTGAGCTCCTAGCTCTTTTGCAGCCTTTCTACTACTACTCTTTGGCTCCTTCCTACTGCTGTCTTTCAGCCGCACCCCTGATCTTATGGTAGGTAAGATCTAACACCAGGCCTTCTCGGATAAGGGCGAAAAATCTAAGATGTCCCGTGTGCAAGTTGTGCACGTTGAAGATTCGTTGGTGGTAAAAAAAATCGACAAGGGTAGGCTTCGGCCGGCACCCGGACAATATTCAAAATTTCCTACCAACCGAAACATGTTTAATGTGTCTCACGCGCCCATATGACCGCATAAAGTTGCGTATTCATAAAACACTTACCAACCCCCAAAACAAAACAAAACGCAGAGCATAATTCACTTGCCACTTTACACCACAGTATGGATGCGTCACCGGACACTTGTAATCTTGAGATTGAGAGTCATGGGTTCGAGGCTCAGTGTGGCATCCGACGTTGTGTCTTGAAAAAGGCACTTCACACGAATTTTCCCATTTGGCTCGGTCCTATCAGATATGGACGTTTAATTCGGAGGTCCCACCTTTTAAAAACCTTACAGCATTATTGAAAGGCGCAATAAAACCGGTAGGCCTACTATTTCGCACAACAGGGTGCGTATAATTAATTAATAATTCGAAACATGTCTTTTACTTTTATTTTTTTAGCTAAACTTCGGGCGTTTTTTTTTCATCGTACCGTATTTTTCATTTCAGCTTGAGTTGTTTGTTGGTTTTTTCTCTGGTGTAAAACGTACCTAAATTTATTTAAGTGGATTGCTTGCGACAAAGACGATGTGCTGGGTCGTCTGGATCGAAAAACTCGTGAACGTGGAATGGAACTCCTTTTTGAACACAGGAACTCCAGGCTGTACTAAAAAATGTTTACTCAGCTACATCATCATAATAATAATAGATAGCATTTGTATAGCGCATATCCCCGCTCAACAGCAGGCTCTATGCGCTTTACACTATATTATTACCCCAGCAGACCATAGAACACTCCGAAACATTTTCAGCTTCCCGAGAAGCATACAGTGCAAGCAGCCGATTAAGCGCTCAAACACTAACAAACTGACAAGATCTTTCGCTGTCTATAGCCGGGTACCCATTCCCACCTGGGTGAAGTGAGGAAAATTCGTGTAAAGTGCCTTTCCCAAGGACACAAAGTCGGGCCCCTGACGGGATTCGAACCCACGACCTTACGGTTGCGAGTCCGAGAGCCTAACCACTAGGACACCGACGCCACATCATGATTATGATGAGTACATGTGTTCATGTTCAAAGTAGAGGATGCCAAGCATAAAAAGCTCTAAAACTATGTTTTAATATAGCCTTTCTGTAACGATATGAGTAGCCTACATAAAAGCATCAGCCAAGGACTGGTTAAATTCAAATTGGTTACTGGGGATGCTGCTACGAACGTGTCAGCGATTGAAAGTAAGGGGGCGCCCTCAAGGGAGGCGAGTCTAAAATCCTTAGTTGGTACTTAGCTTTCGACTACCATAACACTTTGACATGAGTTCTGTGACTACCGTAATTCAGGACGGAATCGGCGAGCTTGGACCCAGATAAAGCTTGACCCATGCTCGAGACAGCGGCAGTGAGAGGTCACTTACTTTCTCGTTCTAAATAGCTGTGCCAACATGTTGGAATATGCGATTTTTTCATTTGCATGTTTTACCGTTTTGCTTGTTGCAAAAAAATGGATTTATCCGGTAAGTTTGCTATTTGTTAAGGTCGTTTTAATTTTTTTTTTTAGCCTAATAGCTTTAAATATTTGGAAACTTTCCATATAGTATAGAGATGCCAGAGTGTCAGTCAGTTGACATAGTTGCAAGGGTGAAGAACAGACCAAAAGATATTAGCTCGTAACTGCGTTGTTTTCCTCAGGTCTGGGCATATCCAATTCAAAGGGGACTCTCGTGGCCTAGAGGTTAAGGTGTTCGCCTCTCATTCAAAGGTCCCGAGTTTGAATCCTGGAAGCGACGTAAACATGTTTTTCTCTAAATTATCTCCTTTCACCTCCTTTACTGTCGTCTGCTTTCGTCTCCATTTTCTGCCCCCACTCCTCACCTCCTTTGCCCCCTCTTCTGGGCTCCTGACTCTTTCTGCAGTCTTTCTAATTCGGCTACACACCTGATCTTCTGGTAGGAAAGATCTACACCTAGCCTTCTCGGACAAGGGCGAAAAATCTCGGCGGTCCCTTGTGCAAGTTGCGCCCGTTCAAGATCCCTTGTTGGTCTAAAATCGATAAGAATAAGAGCAGGCTTCGGCTGCCACCCTGGCTAAATTCAAAATTTCCTACTAACTGAAAATGTTTGGTGTGTCCCGCACGTTCATATGGACTTATGCAGTTGCGAGCGCCGTAAAACACTTACCCCCCCCCCCCAAAAAAAAATCCAATTCAAAGAGGGCTAACTAAATTAAGCAATCACCCCAACGCCCAGTGTCTCTTGCGGAAACACACCAACACATACTCAGTCACTCTCTCACGTATAAAATGCACCCCGATGTCTGTCGTAAACACACATTGTTATAATGGTTTGTGTTAGCATAAACTGTAACACAGCACTGTTTGCGAGACTGCTAAAGATAAGGAAAAGATCAACGATGGGCAACCGGACACTGTGACCACGTGAGAGGTGCTACTCATTGTCTCCAGTTACCACGAATTCTAGTGACCGAAGACCCCTAAAATCAATGTGCACAATTGTTATCATACAATCTTCACTTCATCTAAACCTGAATGGTAATTAAAAAATCTATCAAACTATCAATGCCTTCAACTGAAATATGTACCTGCACCAAACGCAAACACATGTAAACCGAAAATACTAACGAGTGTCTAAATTCGATGTTATCGAGGCGTATCTCCCCGCCGCTCCATATTTTCCCCCCATACTTTTTAATAAAGCCTACTGTATTAATTGAAATCTGAAGTCTAGGTAAGGTATACGAGCTTTCATCAACAAGTGCATCTGTTGCATAAAAGAATCAATATCTTTCCATTAGAGTTGACTTTAAAAAATGCAGTTTCCCTTAACTTTCCGGCTCGAATCGTCTAGACAATAGATCATAGTGTACATTGTGTCATGGGTCAATGTGATTCAGTGGGTCAACTAGTTTTTGGAGGGTAAAAAGAAAGACAACCTCTGTGGGCGCTGTGACAACTTTTTCGGTAGCTTTGTACGACTCTACTCTCGAAATTAAAATATCCGATTACAATATTGTCAAAAAGCTTACACAACAATTTGCATTTCAGAGCTCGAAGAAGGTCACCACAATACCTGGTCTTGATCCATCGAATAAAGAGTAAGTATGAATTTACTATAGGAGTTGTTACGATAGATCTAATGATAACGTCTTTGCGCTACCCACGTATGCCGTACTTAATTAAAAACAAAGTCCTACTGCGATGCAGATTTTATTCTTTATTTTCAGTAGTCAGCGTGCATTGACTATAATTTGCAATAATCTGCTCTAAGAAGGATAATCCAAGAGAGGCTGAATGTTACAGGAAATTATTCATTTTTATTACGGATGTTATATTGAGGTATATTTACCCTTGGCACACAACCTGTAATTTTAAAAAAGCAAACTTCAGTTACGGACTTTGACAGGAATCTGCATCTCACACTGAAACCGATTTCAATAGCATAATAATATGACGACTGATATCTTAATGATTAGTAGAAGTAGATTATCATTGGTGATCAAATAAATGCAGAGAGAAAACATAACATGCGCGACGTAAAACCAACCTCTGTGTATACAACCAAGGCTAAAACATGATTTCTGAGAGCACCAGAAAAGTCTACATTTAGACCTGGTCAGAGCGACCTAAGAATCAGGTTTCTCGAACAATTCTTGATAACAAACCTGTCGAGGAGCATGTGTGTAGGTCTGTTTGTGTGTGTGTTTGTGTGTGTGTGTACGCACGAGCGCGCGCGGCGCGCGCGCGCGCGCGTGTGTGTGTGTGTGTGTGTGTGTGTGTGTGTGAGAGAGAGAGAGCGAGTGTGTGTATGTGTGTGTGAGTGTGTGTGTGTGTGTGAGAGAGAAAGTGTGTGTATGTGTGTCAGAGAGATAGAGAGTGTGCGTGTGTGTATGTATGTGTATATGTGTGTTTGTGTGTGTGAGAGGAA